GAAATTTTAACAAAATGTGTACTTTATAAAGGAGAAAAGGGAGCTAGTTCTGTTTTATATGATCTATTGTCTTATGCAGCTTCGTGCTTCTCTCCTGCTTGCTGCCTCTGTATCAGAAGCAGCAATGGCTTTGGGGGGGAGAGGGGGGAAGAGAAGCTGCTCCAGAAGCAGCCCCTGTCTGCAGTGGGTCCTAGCAGAGAGCTCCTCCCCACCCACCCCTTACGGACAAGGGCTGCCGCTGCGAATCAGCCTCTGACCATGGCGGCCCAGGCTGGCTGCACGCAGAGTCTGCTGGACCCGGCACGAGCTGGGACCAAGCAGTCCCAGCTCGCGTCAATTTGGGACCTCTGTGGCTCTGCATTTTAAATTTAGTAAGAGCGGGGTGGCTCCTACTTTATTTAAAATGCAGAGGTGCAGCAGTTCTGGACCCAGTGCAAGCTGGGACTCCTCAGTCCCGGCTCATGCCAGGTCTGAGAGTTATCCCTGCTGCAGCTCTGCATTTTAAATGTAATAAGAGCTGCCCAGTCCTGGCTCTAATGCAGAGCCACAGCGGTCCTAGCTGTGTTCTGGCTCACACTGGTCCGGGACCTACCCCTGCTGCAGCTCAAATGTAGGGGGAGCTGGGCTGCCTGAGCACCTGTCTACTACTACATTTAAACTGGAGAGCCACAGCAGGGGTAGCTCCTGGACTGGCACAAGCCGGGACAGAGCACCTTCTCTTATTGACTAATTGTGTAGTCGATATAAATTGTATCGACAGCACAATTGGTCAATTACCTACCTATTAACATCCTTATTATGCAGACAATTTACACTGCCTTCTGTGTGCAGATGGTGTAGAGGAATCCATATCCCAGTGACTAAGCTTCTTGTGCTTGTCATGGACAGCCATGTCATCTGTTTATAGCAATCACATCACATCTTTTCTCCTTTTGTGAGTGATCGATGAACTAGAGAAGAATCTTGCCCATTAAGCCAGACTCATTCACTTCCCCAAATACTAGCAATTCCAGGCTTGAGGTGGTGCATATAGCGTCCTCAATCTCTTGCCTCACGGGAGCTGAAGGAAACACCGTTAGCTGAACAGTATACAACCCAGCCGTAGCTTTCTATTGTATTTCCTCTAACTCTCCTACTCACAAGCCTCCTCCAAAGCTTCTGCATCAGTTACATTGGTGACTAGAGAGTAATTGAGGTACTTTCTCCCGCTCTCTACTATATTGAGACCCTTCTCTGGAGAGAAGGGTCAAAAATCCACCCAGCTCTGGCTCTTGCATATAAGCCAGTCTAAGAGGCAGGAGAAAAAGGCAGCAGAAACGTAACCCAAAGAAAATACAAACCTCCTCCCTGCTGCAGCTACCTGGATACTAGTGTCTTCTGTACTCTTATCACCCAATTCCACCACCAGCTGAAGCTCCCTCCTCTCAGAAGTTCCTGTGCTGATAAGAATTCAACTCACTGTGCCAGGTCTGAGACTAAACCAAACAGAGCTATCATTAGCGAGGTTAAAAACCTTCAGTGATGGAGATTCAAGAGCAGGTTAGACAGCTACCAGGGACGGTCTAGATAATACTTAGTCAACTCTCCTGTACTGAAATAGGACTAAGTGACTTGGCAAGGTCCCTTTCAGCCCCACATTTCTACGATTTATTCAGCCTGGAGACTCTGCTCAATGCTACTCCCCCAGCCAGTACTCTGGTACCCTCAAGATAAGAAGATGGACCCCAGAGCAGCAGTTAGACCTTTCAATGGGGGGCGGGGTGCTTTGACAGTCACAAACGGGTATTTCCAGGGCAGAGTATGAGTGCAAGAGGGTATCTGAGGAGGCCAGAAAGGGGTACAGAAACATTGCCATCAATCCGACATGCCCAATTTACAAGCAATAAGATTTTCTCTTACTGTCAGCTCTGTTAATTCAGTCCACTTCAGGCTATAACCCTAGGTTGTTTCCTACCTTTTGTAGTACAACCAGTACTGAAGGTTCACCAGAAGAAATTGTGTCAACACCACTAGCGCAACATTACTATCAAAGTAACTGACAGGAACCTAGCAAACAACTGATGTACAAGGAATATAACTCTATACACTCTGTAGGGCTGACTTATTTTTGCTACTAAATCAGCAGCATGACTCCAAATACACACAAGGAGCAGATCAGATAAGTGAGACTTTCAGAGCAGAATTGCACTTTGCCATTAAACTTTTTAATGGTGTTAAATAAAACAGGCAGGGGTTGTGCACTTACTGCAATTTGTCTAGGGCAGCCTCTCACCTGCATCTAAGATTGCTGGCAGGCAATGCATTATACAGTTTGCAAACCTAAACTGGGTTTAGGGCGTCTGATTTGATGGGAGAATGGTTTTATAGCATACATTTGGGTGCTCTGTGCATCTCAGAAAGACAGGTCCCAAACTGGAGAGTTCACAACTGAGAAGATGACTCCAGGGTGGATGTGTAATCCATGCCGGCTTGATTTGGCACTGTCCCCTTCTAAAGACACCTAGACCATCGCTCAATTCGCGCACAGTTGCACCTGACATCCTAAGGGCCATAATAGGATGGGGCACAAGGGGTACCTGTTCCAGGCACAGAGCAAGCCAGAGGTGGGGGATTGCAAAAAAACCAAAACAAAAACCAAAACAAAACACACACAAGTGAGGTGACAGAGGATCAGGTTCAACCTCAGCCCGCCTCCTCCGCCCAGGAGATCTGGGCCCAGCAGCATCAGCAGGAGGCCAAGGTGCTCAGGGCCCCTCACCCTGCAGGATCGGAGGTTGAGTTACCCCTGGTTTGAGCAGGCTTCCCCACACGAGGACTGCAGTGGAGGCAGGCAGGGCAGCTGAGCTACCTACAGTTGAGGTAGGAGACCAGTGGGCACGAGGAGTGCAGCTGGCGCATGGGGGACAGACTCTAGATGTGGGTCCTGGATGGAGGACTAGATACTGGAGCACAATCCCTGGATGGGAGAGGAGTGCTGAGGGGCAGTCCCTGGGTGTGGGATTAGATGCTGGAGGGATCATTCTATGTCTGCAGGGAAAGCACGTGTATCAGCCCAGCAATATGTGGGATCTGGATGCTGAGGGGACAGTCCCAGGAAGGGTGGGGTGATAGAGGGACATTCCCTGGCTGGGAGGCAGACTGGGGAGAGAGTGGGGGCTGTCCTTCTGAGGGAGGCTGGATGCACTGAAGACAGTCCCTGGCTGGGGGTACCCCATATTGGGCAGAGCTCCCCATCTTTGCAGGCACGCTCATAATTGCTCTCGAGGTGCTCAGCGCAGAAGTGAGTGGCTACCACGCCATGCCACCCTGATTGTAAATTACATTTGAACAGTTAACGCTTTGACTTACTATGCTAGTTTAAAACACTCTTGACAGACATTTGCTAGTGGTGAAATGAAATATGAATTGTATCACTGGCATATAACAGGAAACTTTTTTGGGGGGGTAAATGAACAGAGTATACATACGGTGTGGACGCAGCCCACGTAACAGACAAAGCTGCATCATGGTAAGTAGGTTGCGAACCACTGAGGAGTCTGCCACAACCTTGTCAAAGGGCCATCTCACTATTAGCTTGTGCAATAGTGGCTCATACATTAAGCTTCAGAGATCATAGGTTAGATGCCACCTGCTGACAACTGGGTCTGTTGCTGATAGACAGAGGAAGGCCAAGAGTAGTAGTATGAGATCACACGGCTATTCAGATTTGATGTGCATATCCTGATGGTGCAGCTAAGACATTGTATATACAAGACCATACAAGATGAGGAATACTGACACTGTCTATATATAAGGGGCATACTTAATATGAAGAACCACAAAGATTAGTTCGCACATAAGAGGCAAAGATTTTAAATAGAACGGTCTCCACGTAAGAGTATTAAATAATCAGCAAATACCCGCTGACTTCAAATCAGGATGCTGGGATCGGATGTTGGGATCTACTTCGTCAAGCTTCCGTATCAATTTTCCTCAAGCTGTTCCGAGTGCTTTAGATAGAAGACTCCTCAAAATACTTCAGTGGATTGAACTACAAATGTGCCCTTTCAATGGGCAACTGCTATTTCACTCCTTGATTTAGCAGCACCTATTTCATAACCCAAGAAGGGGATGTTGAAACCTAATCATGTAGCTGAACTTGATTCAGTTTTTAAACACGACTAGCTATTTCTACTCAAACCACTGGAGAAGTTTAGAAATACTGAAATTAGATCACCGCTATTCAAGATTGAAAGACACCATGGATATGCCCTAAAATAAGAACTTTGGCCTACCAAGATACTGATTTGTTCAGTGTGAACAAAGATAATTACTGCTTCAGCCAAATGGGCACGACCCAGTTTTACAGCACTGCTGCTTCTCTGACTAGATCAGCAAAGACGACCTCTATTATTTCCCATACAAGAACACAGTTATTAGTTAAACCAAGGTGATTAGTAAAACCAGATTTCAGCTTCTGCATTTCAGGCCTCCAAATCCTGCTGCTGGAAAAAGGTCACAGACAGCCTACTTCTGAATCTAGGGTCAATCCAAGAATGTATATTACAGTATAAAGAGCACAAAGACTTTAGAATTATTCATTAACATGCCCTATCTAGATACCTGTGAGTACATCCCACAGCGTTCACTACAGCATCCAAGAGTCTCAGACTTCAATGAATTTATCTTTACAATCCTGTGGAACAGAAAAGTATCCCCAGGTTTTACAGATAGGGAACTGAGATAGTATCTTGCCCAATGTCACACAGGATAGTCTATAACTCAGGGACTGATTCCAGACTTCTTGAATCCAAGTCCTGTAATTTAACTCCTTCTAAAAGTTATTAATATTATGCTTTAATATTAAGATTATAAGAAACCCACAGAAGGCCTTTGACTCCAGTATAAATAAAAAGTTACTGGAATAATTGTTGATATAACTTATGAAAATGCTAGAAAATAGTTAGCACCTGTACTACATGAGCAACAAGACAGATTGAGAAGGAAAGATGATTGGTTACCTATAGATGGGGATTTGAAAGGGTATTTATCAGGAAGGTCCACTCTAACTTTCCATACTCCACCTTCATATGGTGCTGCAAATCAGAGAAAAATGCAGGTGTTAGATATACTGCAGAACTCTGCAAAGCATAAAAGTACAATAGCATTAAGTTAAAAAACCAAACAAACTGCAGAACTCTGCAAAGCATAAAAGTACAATAGCATTAAGTTAAAAAAAAAAAAAACACACCACCTCGAAAAATAAATACCATTTAGAATAAGTCTTCATGTGAAACCTCCTTTGTTACAGAGCATAGATGGAAAGACCCATTCCCCATAAATGTGAAGGGTATTGATCTTTATTGACGCTCTGATTTTAACTGATCCTACATTAGTTCTCAGCACAAAGGTCCAAGAATCTCATGCAGACCACAAAAGTTAAAATTATCTACTTACCCTGAGAAACGTTACTAATTCAAGACATATTAGAGATCCGGCAAGAGAGCTAATTCTTTTGGAAAACACGTCTTTGCCTTCAATCTTATTTACAAACACTTTACAAAATTCAACTGACCGCCCACATTTTCCAAGGTGCTGAGCATGAGCAGTGGCGCTGCTTGAGGATGTTAGCTACTGGGTAATTGAATAGTTGTGTAACCGCATGACATTTTTAGCACATGAAATTTAAAAAAAAAAAAAAAAAAAAAAAACATGAAAATTTACCCACTTGAAATTTAAAAACCAGCTTCCTCTTGCAGACCAGTTGCCTGATTCCCTGTGCTGCTGCCTCTGATTCAGAGGCACCAGCGCAGGGTGGCAGCAGTCTGTCTGTCGGGGGGTCCAAGCTCCACACAGGCAGAAGCTGCTACATGGGATGCAGAGCTTGGGCCCACCACAGACAGAAGCTGCTTTGCAGCAGCCTCCCCTCCCCACCTCCACCCTTCACAGCAAGGGTGAAGGAACGTGTGTAGTTGACAGGATTCACTGATAAGCCTAGGTTTATCGGTTAATCGTGTAGTCAACTACACGCTGCCATCCCAAGTGCTGCTCAGGACCTTTGAAATTTAAGCCTTATTTTAGGAAAAGCTGTGGCTTTGCACAGCAATCAAAACTACCCACCTGCCATTCAGCTATGAGAGAGGAGGATGTTCACCCAATTTTAAGGTTTGAAATTCAGCTCCCCTTCCCATCTTCCCTTGGTGATGGATCTTAAGTGCAATGACATTCCTTGATCTCTTGCTCCAACTTCCTGTTTCCAGATTTTCAGGTGCTCCCAATTACTACATATGGACAACTGATGTGGTACTTGGCCATTTGTTTCTGTTTTTCCTGTAACCGTTATGAAGTGGTTTAACTATGGAAAAAAGCATCACAAGTCACAGGATCATATACTTACTTCCTTGTGGTCCATAAAACTTCACTACAAATTCATTGAGTCCTCCTAGGATTGTGACTTCATGTTTGCTCTCAATACTGATGTATTAAGTAAAGGAAAATGTTATGTCCAGATGACAACGTATTAGTCATGACACTTCAGGAAACTTGGCACACTGAACAGTCTAAAATGTAACAGTCAGAATATCTTTAGATATAAAATTTCATAGCCTTGGAATATATTTGAACAATCCAATTATTAATGGAGGTCAGCTCCATAAGTGTTAGAGGGAGTTCCCCGGCTTCTGCCCCCAATCCCCATGTTAAATAGAACAAAACCTTCCCATACTTTTAGCACTGGGGTAGTAACTTGAAAACTTCAGAAAGCTCTCTGATGAGCAGAGGAAGAAAGGGACTATTGCTATCTGCTTCTGCTGACACCGATTAACTCTACATTTCAGCCTGGCTCCGGGAGTCTGCCACTCACATGAAATACGTAACCTCCTGCCTTTCCTTCCCTCAAATTTTGAACTTAAGCTAAATAGATGTCAAAGATTTCAACCATTTTGCCTACCAGATCTTGACAAGCCCTGTCATAAGCCAGAGAAAGAAAGGTCAAGAAAAATCCCCCAGGGAAGACTGTTGAGCTCCAGTGTCTGTACAGCCGGCTTCTTCTCTTCCCTAAAGGGTCTCAGAAGTCATCCTGTTGTACATGTGATCCTAGGGATGGGCTCACAAGAGACAAGAAGCGGTCTCTGCATGCCTGGTCCCCTGCAAGTTCAAAATCTTTCTGTGGCCTTAAAACCAAATCTGAAGTGAGAAGACTGTTTTCAAAGGCCCCAACAAATGAAAGGCTGTCTAAGATTCAAGGACATTCTGCCACTTCTGGGACCTGCAGGATCCCAAGGAGTCCACCTGTGCCAACTCACAATCCGAACAGAGGCGATGAAGGAATGTTTTGAGCCTCTCAAAGACTCAACAGCTCACCCTGAAGAAAGAGGATCCTATGACTTTGGATTTATCTCAAGACATAAATCTAAAGATGTCCTTCACAGACAGATATGAGGAGTTAAGACATAAATTCAAGGATTTCTAAGAGTGTTGTCATGCCAAATACTTTGAATCAAACCCATGCAATCTCGGCGATGAAGGAATGTTTTGAGCCTCTCAAAGACTCAACAGCTCACCCTGAAGAAAGAGGATCCTATGACTTTGGATTTATCTCAAGACATAAATCTAAAGATGTCCTTCACAGACAGATATGAGGAGTTAAGACATAAATTCAAGGATTTCTAAGAGTGTTGTCATGCCAAATACTTTGAATCAAACCCATGCAATCTCTTGCAGGAGAGCTGTATGCATCCAACAATCCTCCTCTGGCTTACTTGGTAACAGACCTTGCCTCCAACTACACTTTCATCAGG